TATTATATATATATTATATATATATTATATATATATATATATATATATATATATATATATATATATATTATATATATATAATATTATATATATATATATATATATATATATATATTTTTTTTTCAACAAGTCGGTCGTCTCCCACCGAGGCAGGGTGACCCAAAAAAAGAAAGAAAATCCCCAAAAAGAAAATACTTTCATCATCATTCAACACTTTCACCACACTCACACATTATCACTGCTTTTGCAGAGGTGCTCAGAATATAACAGTTTAGAAGCATATACGTATAGAGATACACAACATATCCCTCCAAACTGCCAATATCCCAAACCCCTCATTGCAGGCATTGTACTTCCCATTTCCAGGACTCAAGTCCGACTACATGAAAATAACCGGTTTCCCTGAATCCCTTCACTAAATATTACCCTGCTCACACTCCAACAGATCGTCAGGTCCCAAGTATCATTCGTCTCCATTCACTCCTATCTAACACGCTCATGCACGCTTGCTGGAAGTCCAAGCCCCTCACCCACAAAACCTCCTTTACCCCCTCTTTCCAACCCTTTCGAGGACGACCCCTACCCCTCTTTCCTTCCCCTATAGATTTATATGCTTTCCATGTCATTCTACTTTGATCCATTCTCTCTAAATGACCAAACCACCTCAACAACCCCTCTTCTGCCCTCTGACTAATGCTTTTATTAACTCCACACCTTCTCCTAATTTCCACACTCCGAATTTTCTGCATAATATTTACACCACACATTGCCCTTAGACAGGACTTCTCCACTGCCTCCAACCGTCTCCTCGCTGCTGCATTTACCACCCAAGCTTCACACCCATATAAGAGTGTTGGTACTACTATACTTTCATACATTCCCTTCTTTGCCTCCATAGATAACGTTTTTTGACTCCACATATACCTCAACGCACCACTCACCTTTTTTCCCTCATCAATTCTATGATTAACCTCATCCTTCATAAATCCATCCGCCGACACGTCAACTCCCAAGTATCTGAAAACATTCACTTCTTCCATACTCCTCCTCCCCAATTTGATATCCAATTTTTCTTTATCTAAATCATTTGATACCCTCATCACCTTACTCTTTTCTATGTTCACTTTCAACTTTCTACCTTTACACACATTCTCAAACTCATCCACTAACCTTTGCAATTTTTCTTTAGAATCTCCCATAAGCACAGTATCATCAGCAAAAAGTAACTGTGTCAATTCCCATTTTGAATTTGATTCCCCATAATTTAATCCCACCCCTCTCCCGAACACCCTAGCATTTACTTCTTTTACAACCCCATCTATAAATATATTAAACAACCATGGTGACATTACACATCCCTGTCTAAGACCTACTTTTACCGGGAAGTATTCTCCCTCTCTTCTACACACCCTAACCTGAGCCTCACTATCCTCATAAAAGCTCTTTACAGCATTTAGTAACTTACCACCAATCCATATACTTGCAACATCTGCCACATTGCTCCTCTATCCACTCTATCATATGCCTTTTCTAAATCCATAAATGCAATAAAAACTTCCCTACCTTTATCTAAATACTGTTCACATATATGCTTCAATGTAAACACTTGATCTACACATCCCCTACCCACTCTGAAACCTCCTTGTTCGTCCGCAATTCTACATTCTGTCTTACCTCTAATTCTTTCAATTATAACCCTACCGTATACTTTTCCTGGTATACTCAGTAAACTTATTCCTCTATAATTTTTACAATCTCTTTTGTCCCCTTTCCCTTTATATAAAGGGACTATACATGCTCTCCGCCAATCCCTAGGTACCTTCCCCTCTTTCATACATTTATTAAACAAAAGTACCAACCACTCCAACACTATATCCCCCCCTGCTTTTAACATTTCTGTCATGATCCCATCAGTTCCAGCTGCTTTACCCCCTTTCATTCTACGTAATGCCTCACGTACCTCCACCACACTTACAGTCTGCTCTTCTTCACTCCTAAAAGATGGTATACCTCCCTGGCCAGTGCATGAAATTACCGCCTCCCTTTCTTCCTTAACATTTAAAAGTTCCTCAAAATATTCTCGCCATCTACCTAATACCTCCCTCTCCCCATCTACTAACTCCCTACTCTGTTTTTAACTGACAAATCCATACTTTCCCTAGGCTTTCTTAACTTGTTTAACTCACTCCAAATTTTTTTCTTATTTTCATTAAAATTTCTTGACAGTGCCTCTCCCACTCTTTCATCTGCTCTCCTTTTGCACTCTCTCACCACTCTCTTCACCTTTCTTTTACTCTCCATATACTCTGCTCTTCTTATAACACTTCTGCTTTGTAAAAACCTCTCGTAAGCTACCTTTTTCTCTTTTATCACACCCTTTACTTCATCATTCCACCAATCACTCCTCTTTCCTCCTGCCCCCACCCCTCCTATAACCACAAACTTCTGCCCCACATTCTAATACTGCATTTTTAAAACTATTCCAACCCTCTTCAACCCCCCCACTACTCATCTTTGCACTAGCCCACCTTTCTGCCAATAGTCGCTTATATCTCGCCCGAACTTCCTCCTCCCTTAGTTTATACACTTTCACCTCCCTCTTACTTGTTGTTGCCACCTTCCTCTTTTCCCATCTACCTCTTACTCTAACTGTAGCTACAACTAAATAATGATCCGATATATCAGTTGCCCCTCTATAAACATGTACATCCTGGAGCCTACCCATCAACCTTTTATCCACCAATACATAATCTAACAAACTACTTTCATTACGTGCTACATCATACCTTGTATATTTATTTATCCTCTTTTTCATAAAATATGTATTACTTATTACCAAATTTCTTTCTACACATAGCTCAATTAAAGGCTCCCCATTTACATTTACCCCTGGCACCCCAAAATTACCTACTACTCCCTCCATAAAATTTTTACCCACTTTAGCATTGAAATCCCCAACCACCATTACTCTCACACTTGATTCAAAACTCCCCACGCATTCACTCAACATTTCCCAGAATCTCTCTCTCTCCTCTACACTTCTCTCTTCTCCAGGTGCATACACGCTTACTATAACCCACTTTTCACATCCAATCTTTATTTTACTCCACATAATCCTTGAATTTATACATTTGTAGTCCCTCTTTTCCTGCCATAGCTTATCCTTCAACATTATTGCTACTCCTTCTTTAGCTCTAACTCTATTTGAAACCCCTGACCTAATCCCATTTATTCCTCTCCATTGAAACTCTCCCACCCCCTTCAGCTTTGTTTCACTTAAAGCCATATATATATATATATATTTTATATATATATATATATATATATATATATATATATATATATATATATATATATATATATAATATATATATATAATATATATATATATATATATATATATATATATATTATATATATATATATATTATATATATATATATATATATATATATATTATATATATATATATATATATATATATATATATATATATATATATATATATATATATATATATATATATATATATTATATATATATATATACACGCATGCAATATACATCTCAACCCAAAGTCTATCTTGCCGGTATCCATGATTTAAAGGTAGAACTACCATGCTTACACTCCAACAGCCAACACAATATATATAACAATCGAGATGGGGGTCATAGATAAACATTATTTTAAACCCCATTTACAAGTATCGGCCATAAACAGCTTGAAATGTATATGCTATATATATATATATATATATATATATATATATATATATATATATATATATATATATATATATATATATATATATAATATCCCATCCCTTTGAAGATGGGTGTAAGCACATGAAAAAGCTCAGGTTTTATTTCCTATTTTCACTAGTATTTTTTTCATGTTTGCAATCACGTGTTTTATTGGGATTTCTTCCAAAATGAACATCACCCATTCTTTTCATATATAAGGGCTTTCCACAATACTTTATCACGTGAGTTATACCTGACAAATTCACACTCTTCGGCCACAAAAACAAGGATAAACTTGTCATCAAAATACTAGATGACATTACAATCGCCACCGGAAATTATTGTGACCGGTCGGCAGTCTGAGAACGAGCTGGCAGACACCAACGTTCCAAAGGGCACCCATGTTGAGCTCACACCAGCTCAGCCAAGGGCACACATGCTAAGGTCACACCAGGCTAGCCAAGGACACCCATGATGGTCATACCAACTTAGCCAAGAAAACCCATGATGGAGGTCATACTTGCCTAGCCAAGGACACCCATATTGGGGTCACACCACCCTAACCAAGAACACCTGTTGGAGGTCACACCAACAAAGTCAAGGACACCCGTGTCGGAGTCACACCAACCTAACCAAGGGTATTCATACGTAGGTCACACTGTCATAAAGGATGAAGAACATAGTTAATGGTGTCCCCCAAAATACCCCTAATATAAAGCTGAAGGGAGTAATAACAAACACATGGCTACACTACGCTGTTTCGAAAACAATAACAACTATAAACCCGTAGCTCAATGGTCGAGTGCTCTACTCATAACAGAAAGTGCCCAGGTTCGATTCTCCGGAAAAGGCGAGATACGTGGTCAAGTGTAAAGCTTACACTTGCGTCCCTTATTCACACACAGTAACACAATAGGTACTACCTGGATGTTAAGTCTCTTTACATCTTCTACCCCTGTTCACTTGAATAGTAAATATGTACTACCTGAGTGTTATGTGACTGATGTGGCAGCCTGAGGGATGGTAGATAGGACTAGACTTTGAAATGAGCTGAGGTAGGATATCAGCTCTTGGCCATTCAATTCAACCATGTAAAAAACATGCCTCACAAAAAGCTTCTAAGACGCACTTCCTGATAATGTGACATTAACAACAGTTTTGCAAACCCGCCGAGACCGACAAAAAAACAAAAGACAACTTCAGTACCTGGGAACATTCGAAAACATTATGGAGGAACTTAGTGCAACTTAACTTACCCCGTCTTCCGTTAAGTCGAAACCTTGAGTCTTCCGCCAACGCATCCTGGGTCATGGCAGGTTTTCTTCTGTTGATGGCGACCTGTTGCTGTTGACGGTGACCTGTTGTTCGGTTAACCGTGACGTTTCTATTAATGGTGAACTGTTCGGTTAACGGTGATGTTCTTTTGATGTGATCCTTTTTTTCGGTTAACGGTGACGTTTCTGTAAAGGTAACCTCAGAGCTCTGTTGGCAGTGACGTTTACGTTACCTATTACTGTAGTATGCAGCTTTAAAGCTCTATTAACGGTATCCTTATGTTCTATGGATAATAACGTAACGAACAAGTATGCGAGAATTCACTTAGTTGCCTGCTAAACTGGCAGAGGGGAAGTGGCAGCACAGCAGTACTTACTGCACCACACGCATGGTTCAGTGTGTTCTGGGTGGCCCACTTGTCACTACAGTGCCACTAGCATCACTCTGGTGCCAATGGCATCATTCTGGTGCCACGTGCCAACCATGGCGTGGCCTCTGCACTTGCACCATATTTCCTAGTGTATCCTGAGGTCACTTTCCTGTACTCTGAAGCCTGAGAATGACGTTCTATTTAACATATGACAAAAATTAATTTGTAATGAACAATCTTTATTCATATGACAAAACATTAGTTCATTTTCATCACAGAGGTAAAACACTCAATAAAAAACCATAATAACTGAACACCACAAAATGCACAGCACTAATACGAGTAGTTTTTATATGAATAAAAAGACAGTGAATACGTATAATTTACAAGATTATCAGTATACAAATTTTCACCACCTTAAGTCGTCTAACACTTATTTTCAAGTGACATTAATTACTACGATAAATGTCAGTCATTTGATGATCCAGAATTCATACACTTCAATTACTGTATAAATCTACACAACACTGAGTATTTAGCCTGTGTGTGGCGATTACATCACAAAATACACGGAGACATTATGAAAAATTCATGTATACTGGATGTGGAGTTATGTGTTACTACAAGGCTGTCTACATGCTTGTTATGAAGCCTTGTTTGTTGTTGCAGCTGCTGTGGCCCCACCATCTCCCTAGCAACACACACGCTTAATGAATTTTCATTTTTAGACTGAAATTCTTGTTAACAATGATTCGGTCATGTCTAAACACGATTGTTTATGTTCTCGGTCAGGTTATATGACATCACAGTCTTCCAGCAAATGCAATATTAATGGAATTTAAGTTCTAATTTGAGTTAAGGGTAACTTTTTTTTAAGAACGCCTAAGGGTGATTGCCTTCCATTTCCCAGGCGTTATATGATCCTTACGGGTTTAGTACTACTACATGAATATAATAAATAAACAAATAATAATAATCCACGTAAAACAGTTAACAAATTTTATGCAATTCTTTTATTTGCTACTTTTTATGTTACCAAAAATAACTAGCAGCCTAACCTTGCCAAAATTTATGTAATATAAGAAAGTTTAGTTTATAGCCTAGCCTATCAAACAATTTGCATGACTAGTGTTATTCCAACGAAGGACCAAGCTTCAGCTCAGTAGTACTTGCATTATTACAATGATGTTCATGTTTTTCTCAGGCTACCTAAATTAACGTAAAAAAAAAACTATCAACCTGTCAAGAAGTATAAATAATAAGTACTAAGGTTAATCTTCCACTTTATATATCTTCGGTAAAGCCTCACTTAGATTACGATGCTTGGTTCTGGTCTTCATATTACAGAACAGACATAAATGCGCTAGAAAATATATAGAAAACGATGAAGTTGATACCATCTATCAAAAATATTTCCTACCAAGGCTGAAGGCTCTGGATTTACACTCTCTGGAAAGACGACGAATTAGGGAGGAGACGACTGAAGGGTACAAACTGAAAACTAGAATAAATAAAGGGGATATAAACAACATGCAGAAAGTATCTAAGACGACTCGCAGCAACTAATTCAACTTGGACAAATTTATATTTGGAAAAGATATCGGAAAGTAATGGATTGGCAACAGAATTGTAAATGAGTGGAACAAACTTCAAGGTAGCTTTATAAAGGCGATTGATAACTTTGGACAGTTTTAAATATAGGTTAGACGGACACATGAGTGCGTGAGAGTTGGATCTGTCTAGCATGGGCCAATAGGCCTGCTGCAGTATTCATGTTTTTATGCATTAATATAATTTTCATTTAAATATCTACAATGATTATGTAGCATTTCAGTATCACAGAATCATTATTTATTCAACTGAATAGCATTTAATTTTAAAACAAAACCATGGATCAAAAGCCCTTCACCAGCATGACGGCACCTCCCATGAATGGTTAAGGGAAACACAGGTACCCGTGGGTAGTAAAGTAAAATTTTTATCTCCATATTCCTGAGTTACCAAGTAAAATGTTTCCCATAATTTTCTGAAATAACGATAACGGGTGACGCCAAGATAATAGTAAGGATGAGAGTAATCTCAGGACCTTGTAAGTAGTGGAGTGTGACCTTCTGACCTTCTTCCTCCCACCAAAGGAGGTCACCCACAATAGCTAGCATTAAACGTACATAAATAAATAATGAGGAAGCAGAGACATTGCATAATTAAAATCACTGTCAAGACAAAGTCTGCCCAAAATTACTGACAGTAAACACACTGAGGTAGTAACAGGAACCTGGTGTGTGTACTCAACTGTGGTTGCAGGGGTCGATTCACAGCTCCCATGTGTGTTATTTTAATATATATATATATATATATATATATATATTATATATATATATATATATATATATATATATATATATATATGAGAGAGAGAGAGAGAGAGAGAGTCTTCTATGAAGTCTGGAGACTTCCTAGAACCCATGTGTGCACTAGGCTTATATATATATATATATATATATATATATATATATATATATATATATATATATATATATATATATATATATATATATATATATATAAATAGGAGGAATAACATCTTGTAGGAGTGAGGAAGAGCCGGTTGTGAGTGTGGGGAAAGTTCGTGAGGCAGTAGGTAAAATGAAAGGGGTAGTAAGGCAGCTGGGATTGATGGGATAAAGATAGAAATGTTAAAGCAGGTGGGGATATAGTTTTGGAGTGGTTGGTGCAATTATTTAATAAATGTATGGAAGAGGGTAAGGTACCTAGGGATTGGCAGCATAGTTCCTTTGTATAAAGGCAAAGGAGACAAAAGAGAGTGCAAAAATTATAGGGGGATAAGTCTGTTGAGTATACCTGGTAAAGTGTATGGTAGAGTTATTATTGAAAGAATTAAGAGTAAGACGGAGAATAGGATAGATGAACAAGGAGGCTTTAGGAAAGGTAGGGGGTGTGTGGACCAGGTGTTTACAGTGAAACATATAATTGAACAGTATTTAGATAAGGCTAAAGAGGTCTTTGTGGCATTTATGGATTTGGAAAAGGCGTATGACAGGGTGGATAGGGGGGCAATGTGGCAGATGTTGCAGGTGTATGGTGTAGGAGGTAGATTACTGAAAGCAGTGAAGAGTTTTTATGAGGATAGTGAGGCTCAAGTTAGAGTATGTAGGAAAGAGGGAAATTATTTCCCAGTAAAAGTAGGCCTTAGACAAGGATGTGTGATGTCCCCGTGGTTGTTTAATATATTTATAGATGGGGTTGTAAGAGAAGTAAATGCGAGGGTCTTGGCAAGAGGTGTGGAGTTAAAAGATAAAGAATCACACATAAAGTGGGAGTTGTCACAGTTGCTCTTTGCTGATGACACTGTGCTCTTGGGAGATTCTGAAGAAAGTTGCAGAGATTGGTGGATGAATTTGGTAGGGTGTGAAAAAAGAAGAAAATTAAGAGTGAATACAGGAAAGAGTAAGGTTATGAGGATAACAAAAAGATTAGGTGATGAAAGATTGGATATCAGATTGGAGGGAGAGAGTATGGAGGAAGTGAATGTATTCAGATATTTGGGAGTGGACGTGTCAGCGGATGGGTCTATGAAAGATGAGGTGAATCATAGAATTGATGAGGGGAAAAGGGTGAGTGGTGCACTTAGGAGTCTGTGGAGACAAAGAACTTTGTCCTTGGAGCAAAGAGGGGAATGTATGAGAGTATAGTTTTACAACGCTCTTATATGGGTGTGAAGCATGGGTGATGAATGTTGCAGCGAGGAGAAGGCTGGAGGCAGTGATGTCATGTCTGAGGGCAATGTGTGGTGTGAATATAATGCAGAGAATTCGTAGTTTGGAAGTTAGGAGGAGGTGCGGGATTACCAAAACTGTTGTCCAGAGGGCTGAGGAAGGGTTGTTGAGGTGGTTCGGACATGTAGAGAGAATGGAGCGAAACAGAGTGACTTCAAGAGTGTATCAGTCTGTAGTGGAAGGAAGGCGGGGTAGGGGTCGGCCTAGGAAAGGTTGGAGGGAGGGGGTAAAGGAGGTTTTGTGTGCGAGGGGCTTGGACTTCCAGCAGGCATGCGTGAGCGTGTTTGATAGGAGTGAATGGAGACAAATGGTTTTTTAATACTTGACGTGCTGTTGGAGTGTGAGCAAAGTAACATTTATGAAGGGGTTCAGGGAAACCGGCAGGCCGGACTTGGTCCTGGAGATGGGAAGTACAGTGCCTGCACTCTGAAGGAGGGGTGTTAATGTTGCAGTTTAAAAACTGTAGTGTAAAGCACCCTTCTGGCAAGACAGTGATGGAGTGAATGATGGTGAAAGTTTTTCTTTTCGGGCCACCCTGCCTTGGTGGGAATCGGCCAGTGTGATAATAAAAAATAATAAAATATATATATATATATATATATATATATATATATTATATATATATATATATATATATATATATAATATATTAGAAATTAGTATACTGATGGCACTGTACAAGTGAATTGCTTCCTAGCTGACCCACCCGCAGTGAAGACTGGCTTCAAGCCACAAAATCTAAGCTATCTAATTCACTTTTTACCCAGCATCGACGATCACTTAGGTGCCGGAGGCGATTCAAAACTTATTTCGACCAACAGTCTTGGCTCTCACAACCAGGCATGAGTGGCAATCCGGTTCCAACATTTTTTACCTGTTCATGACGCAAGGTGTAATGTAAGGGATTCCCAGACTGGAAACCCAGGTTACAGTCCTGCAGTACTCATCTAGTCTCCATACATACATGAATACGGGACCAAGAGCTGAGCCTCAACTCCTGCAACCACAAATAGGCGAGTACATACATACCTATACACACATACATATTTACATACAAATACATGCATATTACATACTCGCGCTCATTCAAAACGCTGACTACACATATGATGATAAAATGCAATCATAGATACATAGAAGCGATAAAAATTCTGGAAGCTCAAACAGAAAACTGGGACCCACCGAGCGGAGTGTACAATACAATGAAATAATCACTTATTAAATCTAGTGTCAAAGTCACGCAGTAAGTCATGCACGTGAGGAGCTGCGGAAAAAAAAATATTTTCATTGTTAAATTATGGGTTATTTTATGTTAGTTCAAATACAACCTGGCCTACAATATACTAGTTATTCTAAATTTTATTAACATAATCTAACCTAAATTCT